CCATATTAAACCAGATTTATAAACATTGATTAGCTAACAATATTGCAGTAAACGTCACAGCAATGCTTTTCAGCTTTACAGAACCACAATAACAACATTGCATTCTGATCTGATCCAGTGAAAGATAAAATGCTAAAATGTTAGCCTAATGTAATTCTCCCAGCTATTCTGCAGTGATACCGCCTGGTTATTTTTATAAGACACAGTTTCAGAAATATATTTACTGTGAGATAGTTAATTGTGCATCAGATACATGCTGTACAGTAACAAGTTATTGTATCTGGAAGACATTTCTGAAGAGTATCGTTATGTTAATTTAAGCCTTGATAAATGTTCCCATTAAATTCCTTTTTCAAGGTCTTTTCAATATAAGGATGATATATTGAGGTTCTACAGGGAAACATAACAATAGACCTTCCAACAGAACAGTTACCATGCTCTTCAAAAAAGTAATCATGGCGAAGCCTTGTAATTTATAGCTGCATGCAAGGAATGTGAAAGTATGAGAAATTAAATACATCTGCAAGCATTAAATTCTCAAATTGTCCACACACTAAATGTAGTGTTAGAATACATTTGTAAATAGAAACTCTGATTATAAAAATGCCGGCATTATTAAAATGTGCAATCTTGAGATGCTCCAGTACACAGCGCAAGCACAGGTAGTTAGAGGAGTACCTTAAATGGTACACTCCTAAGTGTACCGTTGTGGAATCAACCTTTTAGACTTTGATGCATCAGTTTACAGTTTGGTCTTGTATGTTCCTATTTAATAAACAAGGCCTGTCTGATTTAGTATTTAATGTGTGCAGTTATGCGAAGTGTTGGTTATTATACTTGGCCTCACATTTTTGCAACAGTGAAAGCTTGTTCAGCTAATAATAGGAAGCTTAGCTTTTGAAGCAAAAGATTGTCAGTAGGTGTTCTGTATATAGAAACCTGATTCAGCTTTCTGTAAAATAGGTGACAGTTGGTATTTTTTTAAAAAATGTGCTGACCTCCCACTGTGTATGAAATGGAAATAGAAATGAGAAAACTGAAGAGACACACCCAATGTGATGAAATCATGACATTTCTTGTTTGTGTTGAGCTTCTATTTAACGTTTGATCCTCATGTTCGATGTTCCATGCTTATTTTTAGTATTTGATGCTTGGATACATTGTAATATTTGGCACTCGGGCCTAATGTGTGTTGTTCGCATATTTTAAAGGTTAGTGTTTAAGCATTCACTCTTGGTCTTGCCTCTGTGGTCTTCACTTCCCCCGTTGTGGATGTCTTGTTGTTTTTCAAAGTCATTGATTACAGCCTGAAAGAAAAGTCTCTTGGCGCAAACACACCTGCAGCTTCTGCACCTGTCCTGCCTTCGGCTTCGCCCCACACTCTGTCGGGAATGGTGAAGGAATGTCTTACAGCTTCGGCTTTTACAGCCTTTTATTACTGCATTTTCTCAGACCGGTTATTACATCTTGGTAAGAAAAACAATTTCATTGAAAGTAGCGCAAAAGTTTAGATTCCAGTTTAAGCACAAAATCATAATCTCTGTGAAAGTACTGTATGGTCACTATGTTGTTGCACTGGCAAGAGCAAGAGTTTGCGAGAATTGTGATGTGAAGCAGCCCTTCCTGCTCACTAGTAACTGTAGTGACTAATGTACTGTAATGTAGGAGTGAATAAAGTTGTGCGGCAGACATTTCACCGCAGAAATGTTCCAGCGTGATCTGTGTGCAGAGTTAACAAGTAGTAGTTGTCAGCAAAATGCTTCAAAGTCGTGAGCAGTATTTCTATTGGATTGAAAAAGATGTATTCACAAGCCTGCTTGTTTACAATGTAATAATAGGGCCCAAAGGATGCTGTGTCCAAATGTATATTCAATTAATACAGCATACTTAATACTTGAATGTTAAGCATTATCTTGCCTGGCTGTGAAAATGACAGCTCTGACTGGAGATCAACACTGCCACAATGCCCCTCACTTAAGAGGAATGAACCAGGGAGGCAGCAGCCTTGTGAAGTTGGGGTGGAGTGAGGGGGGGGTGAGAACACATATACGCTGGGTTGTAGGCAACCAGAAATAGAGAAAAGCGGAAGTCGAGTTAAGAATTCCCGAAATGTCTACTAAATAACATCATTTAGAGCATGGTATGATCTGTTATAATAATGCCTGATGAAAATATGGAAGCAGTTTTGTTACATAACATCATTATGTAAAAGATCACCTTCACACATTCAATGACAAAAAAAACCCAGTGCACCCGGTTTCTTATACTGTTTTAGACATCGACAAGTTTGCCCTCTGTAATGCCAGAAGTCATAAAGATATGTTAGTTATTCTATGGCTTTCCAGCTTTTAAACTTTAGGGACAGTCCACTTCCCAGATTTGTATTTTATAAAACAGTAGGTAATTCTTACTCATCAGAACAGCATTCCTCGCGGTCTCAGAGCAAGAATGTCAACATATTATGAAGAAGGTAGGCTTTTCTTTTAGAATTTGTTAACACTGAATGTCAGACCAAATCTCTGCATTCTGCGCTATGTTTTGTCTCAGTCAGGTTTGGAGTTTTTTCCTAAGCTGTTGTATAAGAGCAGGTGAACCTATGTAGACCTGCTTTATTCAGGACTATTGTGAGATTATTTCATACAAAATACTGGAGTCACAAGGTTTGCTTTGTATCATTCCCAGATGGGGACAGGGGGTTGGTAAGAGGAATAAGTGAAATTATCCAGCACACCTGACCTAGCGTGTAAAATAATAAACTGATACATTTAATTCCTGAAAATTGCTTTTAGCTTTTTTCCTGATCTGGGGTCGCTCTGTGGCATGTAAGCATGTTTTCTCCTGGAGCTCCTATTTGCTCCAACATTCCCAAAGGCAATTAATCGGCACCTCTAAAACTGTTACTGTGGGCATGCCCTTCAGCGGGACTGACTTCCTGTCCAGACTTGTCTTCTGGGGAAAGTTTCACGTTGGCACCACCCGGAGCAGGAGTGTGCAGCTTCCTGATAACAGCCGAAAAGGTGGATGTTTATGTTTATCGTGGAAGCCTGTCAAGTCCTTTACAGTCATAAAATACAATTAAGTGCATTTTGGAAAGGAGCTTGACTTTTCTTAAGTTTGTTCCTTTAACCTTGGCTTTTTAAAATGCGTCGAAGAGTAAGATTGTGATGAAGCTGGGTGGCTGTAAAAGCCGAAATACACGAGTCCAGGGTTCTTCTCAGCTCTGCAGTGTCCAGAAATCAGTGCGACCCAGCCCTGGTGTTGAGGTGGATTAAAATGACGTGTGTGTAGCTTGGGGATGCAGTGAAAAATAACCTTTAGTTATGGGGGAAAGTAAAAGCCCCTTCCATGAGGAAGATTGTTTCTACTGAGAAGACGGCAAACATTTTAGCCTTACTTAGGTATTCCATTTATGTTTGTGGTTCTAGTAAAAGATGCTTTTTTTCCTGTGATAGTACAAAGCTGATGCCAGCAGGAAGATTTTGCTTCAAATCATTCTTAGATGTGGAGAGGGGGTTGGAGTGGGGGGGGGGGGGACAGAAAAAATCGCTTTGACCTGACAAAGAATCAGTCGCACCATAAATTATGCAGCACACCTGACCCAGCGTGTATAATTATAAACCACAGCAGTAATCCTCTCCTGTCAAGCCCAAGCATTCTCTTCCAGTGTGTGGTGTACAGCAAACCCACGGCACAGACACAGCTTCCTCAGTTCCCGCTACACCTCTGCCACTATGTCCAGGTAGTCTTCACTTTATTTCGCCACTCATCATGATGAGCCTCAAGGGCCAGATGGCAAACTTGTTTTGGTTTTCCATGGGTTCCTGGTCTTTGAGTGCATTTCAACAGACCTTCATGAAGAGGTGCGTTACTTCACACAACAGCTGTGGTTCACATCCTTCTGTTTTGGACTCCACTTGGCATATCTGTTATGTTTTATTTCAGTTTTGTATGTATTTACCAAGGTATGCTATTGGAGAGTGAAACTGAGTAATAGTTCCCACAGATTCTTTGTGATTCTTTCTGCAGGTGGTGTTTTTTACTCAGGGTGTAGATATTGCTTATCACAGGCATATAACTTGCTTATCACAGGCAGCTGTGGAAACAAAAGCCTTATTTATGACAACTACAGAGGTAAAAGAGGGCCTTCTGTTATCATGACCTATCCTGAAAATTCCATGGCAATCCAGCAAAAAATAGTTTTTAAGAATAATGAGTTGTGAGTTTGGGAATATTGGAATTTTGCTTTTATGAAGACTATTTCCAAGAGCTACCACAGAAGGACTGGCACGGATTTTATTACTGTCCTGTCTCTAAATTTGCAGGTGAAAATTGGTTAGGTAAAGTTCCTTTCTGTGTTTATGGGGTGGATTTTAAAATGCCAAAACAGGGGTATCCACTACTTGAAAAGCCCCCTGGAATTATTGTCGTAGCCTGAGACACAACTTGATATCAGCAATCTGCATCTGTTTCAAAGAAGAATGTCTCTTTAAACCTCAACTGCTGCTCCATGAGTCTGACAGTAACTTGTGAGAATTTCATGTACTGTACAGATCTGCTCATTGTAAGTCAACGCAGACATCACAGGCCACCACGGGCAAGCCAGCTGTTCCAGTTTGCACAAGTGGGTGTATCTCAGTAATGCCTTCAGATAATTGCAAATCTTGTTAAAAAATATTTTATTTCCCTCATGTCTTGGGCATTTGGAATTATAGGAAACTTTAGGAGGGCCTGGTGATGCAGTGTGTCTTCTTTTTAGAAAAGAAATTAGGCCATGTGTGCGTATTGTTGTATTAGAAGTGGCTGCATATTCTGTTTCTCGTATTTTAAGAGACAACCAGTGAAATACGTCTGAGCACGAATGCAATGTCCAGTGTCGTGGCTGGGAACTGCACTGGCAGGTGGGAATGATTTTATCCCCAACTTGCAAGGGCTGTGTACAACAGGGGAGGAGAGCTCAAGGAAAAGCAGTGGATAATGACGGCTTTCTCCTTCCATTGCAGCTGACCTGAATAATGTCAGGTTCTCTGCATACAGAACAGCCATGAAGCTGAGGAGACTGCAGAAGGCCCTTTGCTGTGAGTATACCTCCCCTCTTTCTCTCTGAGCCCGGGATCACTTCATTATCTGCTCACACCGCCTTCCCTTAAACTGCCGGCCTCCCTGCTGAACGACAGCATTTCAAATGCAAAACGATCAACAGAGTTCTGTTAACTGGAACCTACCCTCCATGAGCACATGCTGCTAATTTTCCCCAGCTCCCCCTGGGTGCGTGGCATTGTCTTCAGGCTCCTGCAGGAAAAGCCGATTGAGAATGCAGATTCCTTGACAAAATGCTTTTTGGGAAAGTGTTCTGCTGTGCGGAGAAAAGAGTTTTCTGTGTGTGGACACGGCCAATCACACGTGCTTTTTTGTTCTAAATCTATGGTGTACAGGGTTCACAATTAAAAATATATAATCAGAAGGAAAACAAAAACACTGCTTTGAACTGTCTGTGTGACCAACCTGAGAGAAAAGTAGCTTGAAAGATTATTGGAATAGAAGGGCACTTCATGACTTTTTATAATACCTCGCACACTTCACCTGTGCCTGCTTTGTGGCATCTCTCACTTTTAATGGGGAAATGTGCTGATTCTCGATTATATAATTCAAGTGCTAAGGTTATCCACTTAGCCTGGATGCCTTCTCAGAAACTGAGTGACGGAGTTTCATTACGAAGCTGCATGTAGAACTTAACTAGCACCTAACGCTTCAGGAACCTGCTTAATTACTATTGATCACTGCTATCTGGGAAAACGAGCTCTCAGCCCCCACTGCCCAAGGAACAGAGGTGTTCTCGAAGCACCACTGCATTACCAATTATGCTAATAAATTGGTATTAGGAGAACCATCTCTGAGCTGTCCCTGTGGGAAGTGTAGTAACAAATGAGCTGTTGATTTGCTGATGTCGGACAAGACACCAATCTCAGCATGGTTACATTTTTATTTGTCAGCAAATTAACGCACTGGAATCTGCAAAAAATGGGAGGGGGGAATTTCAAAAGTGTGGGGAGGGCTGTTTATAAGGCAGAGGTAAGCGTTTTTTGTAAATGACTGTGTAAATACCAGGAGAAGTATTGCTTTTGATAAGACACATCAGCGCAGTGTCAGGTGCTTAAGTTGATTTACATGCTGCAGATAATTCGGCCTCCAGAGGTGCACACATCGCAAAAATAAGGATGTGCTCTTCAATTTTTCTGGTGACACACAAAAAAATTTCACACAGGAATTTTCCTGTGTTGGGGAAAAAAGCGAGAGGTTTTCTTTGATTGCTCCCTGCACCATTTGTTTTTGCTTACATGCTTCAATGATAAAACAAACCTGGAAATTTGCTTTAGGGATATTAGAAGATAGTGTCATTTTTGCTGTCATATTGTGCAGGACTGTGATGTCCTGCAGTGGAGTTTATTTTTCTATAAATGTCACTTGGCAGTAAAACTTGCATATGGATGAAGATTTTGTTTATAAAGCAAATTACTTGCCTGTTATTCTGCGCATTTGGATGACATATATCCATATTTCTCCATACCAGAATGACTCCTGTCATTTCTAGTAATGTGTACTTTAACAGCTTGCAGGGATACTCCATAAAACATCTTGGTATAAATGTTAACGTTGTAAAAGAACATTTTCTTTAGTGGCAGACTATAAGATCGTTTTAATGAGGAATCTGTACTTCAGAAGGAAACAGCAGAGTCCATTTAGAGTTCTGTCGCAGGGTTGGAAGGCAAAGGTGCTTCGTTTTATAATTGAACAGATGTGCATTACTTATTCAGCAGCTCGCCGTTTCTCTGAAATGCAGTTTTTCCCTGCAGTGGATCTCCTGGGGCTGTCGGCAGCATGCGAAGCCTTCGAACAGCACAACCTGAAACAGAACGAGCAGCTCATGGACATCATGCAGATCATCAACTGTCTGACCACCATCTATGACCGCCTGGAGCAGGAGCACAACACCCTGGTCAATGTGCCCGTCTGCGTGGACATGTGTCTGAACTGGCTGCTCAATGTTTACGACACGTACGTTGACCGTTCTCCTGCTCTAACAACGGGAGGCGGAAGTCAGGCTTATGCCTAGGGTGTGCAGCACAAGAAAATGGGAAGTTTGATCTCAAAGCAGCAAGAAAATGATCCCTAAGTCCCCTCCTTTTCATTGTATTGGTATACATCAGGAAGGTTTTCCCTGGTGGATGCCCCCTTGCCTCTTGCTTATGGAATCTTCCAGTTATTTGGCCTTTTAAGTTTTCGGTTGTTGTTTCCTCTAGCAAGAAGCTCAAGCATGGCTTAATATTTTCATTCCATCAAAGCATACAAAGAAATAGTTAACTGCCCATAAAATAAATGTTATGAACTGTCCCTTCACAATCTCCAGACCCCAATCCAATTGAACATTTGTAGTTCGAATTGAGGAAGGCAGTTCACAAAATGAAATCAAAGAATTTGAATAAACCAAAGCAATTCTGCCTTGAGCACTGGTCAAAAGTGCCAGTGTCTCATAGCACTCTACAGGAGGTGTACCATCTGTGTAGTGCCTGCCAGTGGAGGATTTACATAAATTCACCCAGACCTCTTTTAAAGAACGCCCTATTTATAGAAATTTGATACTCGAAAAGCATGTGAGTTGTCACCCGCGTTTCGAATAACGAAAGCCAACTATGAAACTATGAAGAAGCGATACAAAGAAAAATGTCCAAACCTCCACCAAATGAAAGTGAAGAGGAAGGAGTTATACATGTCGTTTCGTACCGAGTACCTGCAGCACATTCTACTGATTAGTATGGGTGACAGCTAGCAGATAGCCTACGGAGTGGAGGGAGAGATGTGTGATACAGTTCACCACGTCTTGCTTTGTGCGCTCTTAACTTTTCATAGCTACTATTTTCACAACTACGGAATATTTGTAGTTTAGACTTTATCGTGGAGCCTAAAAGTGTTAAGAAAATTAAAATTGTGAGTGCGTATAATTCCACAAAAAGCAAATGATACAAGCGGATGCTGTTGCTTAAGTATTATTAATGATGGCAGACTAGGTAAGCAGAGTTTTTTAATTACTGAAAACAGGAGCCGTCATATGAATACTAGTTATTATTGTTGTTTCTTTAGTCATTTTTGGTGAAATAAAAGTAAACGTAGTGCTGACATTTCTGGGGTCCAGAATGGATTGTAATTTTGCCCCCTAAGAGATAATGGAAATAGGTTTTTCTTTTTATGGATTTTTGCTATATGAAAGAGTTCCTGGGAACAAATTACATATATAAAAACAGGTACAGGTGTACTAATAACAATTAAGTGTAACCTTTGTGTTTTCTGGGCTTAAATTATTGATTTAAAAAAACTTTTCTCTATGCTATTCTAGTAATATTATAGCTTAAACACATAATCAAATTTATAAAGCTTCCTATTATATAATATATTTTGTTTCTATTTCATCAGGCAATTAATAGTGCTGGTGGGCTCCGTGGTTTGCATCCATTTTATGTGTCTCCCATGAATCTAATGGTAGAAGAAGTGGAAAGAAGTACTATATCTTGAAAAGGCATGTCTCTGGTTGCTTTGCAGGAAGTGCTGTCATGCCCAGCAGCCTCAATGACTTTCAACAGCTCCATTCTGTGTGAATAATGGCGGTGCTTGAGCAGAATGACTTTCTTAATGCAGATTTGCTTGGAGTCACTCAGATCCACATGCTTAAAAATAAAACCCCTTTCACTAGTAGCCTCCTATGACCTCTTGTTGTTCTATCTGATCTCTAATCTGTCAGATCTCATGGGTCCACTGCTGAACTGATTCCTGTTTATTTGTCTTTAGAATGCACTGGGAGCATTTTTAAAGCCCATACAGTACAGTAGGTGGTCTGGAGCATTCAATTGTTCCAGGCTACTCGGTAGACTACACTTTAATCTTAGGTTTCATTAAGGAAATCTTTAGAGAACAATTTGTGGAGCAGAGAAACACAATTTAAGTTAGGGGATCTGTCCTCAGCGAAAAATATTAGACCTTTGGTTTGCAATGTGTTCCTCCATCTGTTTTCAGTGATCAGCCCATTATGATCTCTTATTTCTTTTTTTCTGTTTTTCTGTTTCACTTTTATCTTTACCAGCCTTGTGTGCTGTGCATATCATGAACTGTGTAGTGTATTTGCACTAGGTAACAGTGAATAAAATTATGTCATAACTATAAAGAGTTTAGCATATCAGCATATGTACATATCTGTCTCTTCTGTAGACTGTGTTACAATGTATACCCAGTACATTTTGAAACTAAAAACCTGCACCTTAAAATTACCTCTTAGGCAGTTGATGGTGGTAGGAATAAACAGTTCATCCTTTCATTTTTGAAAACATGCGTGATTTAAAATGATAATATCCTTTGCCTACATGGACTACATGAGCATTTGTTTAGAATGGTGTCACTGCCCCCCATTCAGTGTTGCAGGCAAATGTGTAAAGTCGTTTCTTTCATGAAAGCATGTCTTAACCTTCCCTCAGCTGATGTTGTAAGTCATCCATTAAGATGAACTGTCACGATTCAATTTCACCGTAAAACGACCAATTGTGTTTATTTAGTTCTCTTCGCACTCCATCTTAAAAGGTTGAATTACTCTTCTGAGGTGGCGGAATTAATTAATTATGCCTCCTGAATTGTCGAGTGGCTTTTAAATTGATTTGCAATACGGTACAATGCAGTAGAAAAGTGGCCACATTGAAGCTTGATTTTTATAAGGCGCCACCGTTGTTGTTTTTTTACCGTTTTAACGATGCATCCAGTCACCTGTGTTCAGTTTTTGCCTTTGTATCTCATCACCGAAATGAGCCTAAGTAAAACTTGGCTTTATTTATTTTTTTCACAGGGGCAGAACTGGAAAGATCCGTGTTCTCTCTTTCAAAACCGGCATTGTTTCACTTTGCAAAGCACATTTGGAGGACAAGTACAGATGTAAGTCGCTTTTGGGATTTTGTGCATTTGTGTGGTAAGCAATAGTGACTGTTTTGTTGGGGGTTTTTTGTTTTCATTTTTTTTACTCAACCGTTAAATTGGAACTGGAGTACAACCAGTGCTCTAAGCCTCTATGTATAGATTAGCCTGTGGACTAACTGGAGAAGATCTAGGGCCTTGTCTTGAATAGATACTCTCTACGTGCCACTTCTGGCAAGAGGTTTTCATGTGAAACATTCTCATTTAATAAGGGAAACCAGTTCTGTCCGAGCCTGTGGCCATTTGTGAAATGTTCAGTAACGGGGGATTATCATTTTGCAACACCTCCCTTGTGCAGCTAATAAGGCGAAGGATAAGCTATGAATATGACCACCCACGAGAAACACTGGGCTCAATGGGTTAAGTGTAGATTATTGATACTTCAAGTGCTATTCCCCCAGCTAGATGATTTTCTTGGCATTATTTGATCGAAGAGGGTGTTGATTGGTTACTCAAACCTGTCATGCCTTGATATTATTGGTACTGCTGTATGTATTTCTGGTGTATTTAAGGGATTGATCAATTGTACTCTCAGAGACTTTCCCAACTGTTTGGTTGGTAACAGACGCTGGCCGCTGTCCTTGCGGGTTTTAACATTCGTTTTGGGCAAGGATACGTTTCAGTATTATCTTATGGTCAGGCTGGTAAATATAAAGACTTTAAAGAAGAGTCTTTTTGTGGACGCTGCACAATGTTGTGAGAAAGAAGAAATACTTAGCATGTTAGACACTCAGCGTTTTCATTACATGAAACATTACAGTAGTTATCTATTAAGTGTAATTAGTTCCTTCATAATAATATACAAAAACATAAAACAGCACATGACCTTATTATAAACTGTTAAATTGCACATCATAAAAACATGATTATAATATTTGAGGAAAACCTCAGTATATAAAGTTTGCAGTTTTTCTGTTGCATAAAGCAGTTTTAATGCTTGCTTATCTGCTCTGGACTTTGTGCTGTTTTTAATTAAACATATTCAGAATTGCATGCCCTCATTTTCCTATGGTGTTCAGATTCTGTGAGGCAAATTAATGTGCAGAAGAAAAATGTATAGAACTAAGGGGCAGGAAAAAATACTGTATTATTAGTATTATTGAAATGAAAAAAGCAGCTCTCGAGATGAATTATTTATAGGTAAATCCGGTCACTGAATCTGATTCAAACAATACATATCATTATTTTTTTCTGCATTCATCAAGTGTGCTGTACCTTTCTTCGCAATATTCCCAAGACTGTTGAGGGCCAAATGAAATCTAACAGCCAGATGAAATAGGTCATTATTAACAAAATTACGTTGACAGTGTAGGCAACAGACTGCAATAAATCAGTAGAACTTTTGCCCTTTCACCTCAGGAGAGTCACCTTGGCTCATTCCAAATGAGGATTTAGCTCTTCAATCAGCATGATTCATAAAACCATGTACTGGAGAAGTGGGGTGGACTTTTAGGATGGCAGGAGATGGGAATTGGGAATGCTTTATCCTATTTTACCATTTGGTCTCCTACAGTATATGCTGTTCTATATGCTGTATCTTCTTGCTTAGAGTCCTTCATTCTCTATGTCTGCCGGTCCAGCACTTTTCAGAACTGCAGACAATATTAGGGATTTTTTTGTATTACTCTGATGAAGAAGTAACATCGAATTCAATTTAGATTCACATAGAGGTGGGTCCTTTTCATCGCAATGCTAGAAGCATGCTCTGTTTTGTGTTGTTATCTAATGGAATGTACAACAAGTACTCTGGTTGCCTTAGGGTTCAGCTGGCAGTCCGCGGGGTCAGTGGTGTCAGACATCTGATATACAGCTTGAACCAGTGGTGCACACAGTGATGAATGGTTGTGCACAGAATTTTTGAAGCCTGTCACATGGGCACTCCTCCTCTCCAGGAGGAATGAGAAGTTGTTTTGCGAAGAAAATCAATAACTGCTGAGATGCCCTGATCCTTCATTAAGAATGCATGGCATGCTACGTTCATACACTTCTTGTTCTGTTGAGGGAATAGTTGTCATTGGGCTCTGGAGGTTCTTCATAAACAACTAGACGCAGGAGCATCTTGTCCTTAACTCCTTCCATTTCAGAGAGTTTGACAGTTGCATAATAATGTGTATGAATATATGTTACAGTAAGAAGATAAAATCCTTAAATATCTAACTTTGGGATTTCCTGAAGTATTCAGGGATTTTGTGAAAAACCTGGTTTGACATTTATATTGTTAAATTCTAAATGTATGTAATCGGAGGAAGATGAACTTATTGGCTTTCGACTTAATTGTTATTTTCTTTCTTTTTTATATCATGGTTCACTTGTAGCAAAAGGAAATATTACTTTAATTAAACTGGAGAAGGAGTTGAAAATGATGTAATGTGGTTAACAGTGAATTTCCCTAAAAAACAGGTATTGCAAAATACTTGAATGTTGCTATCGCTTTAAGTTTCGTTTTGTAAAAAAAAAGTTCATGCTTGAGTGCTGGGTTTTGTACTTTTTTGACAGAACTGGAGAAGATCCATATTCAAGGATTAGTAAATACCATCTTGAACCTGCCAGTTATAAGAGCCAAGAAATAGTGTATAATGATTAATATGTACTGACGGAATTCGGATCTAACCTCAAAAGTATGCTAGTTTCAACTCTTATTTCAGGAATTGACTATATGTCTTGTTTGTCCATTTTCCTTTCAGCAAAGTGCCGGTTTTATTTCATGATTTCATTTTTATTCAGGCTTATGAAAGTACAGTGTGGAAGACGTACATAATTGGCACATTAAGCAAGTCTTAAATCTTTAGGTGTGTGTGCGTATAGCCTCTGACGCAAGACAAAAAGAAAGGAGCTGATGTGTCCAGGCGTGCAGATTAAACTTGATGCAGACCCCCTGTACAGTCTGGCACAGTTTGGGAGGGGGCTTTTACCTTGCTACAGGAAGAGAGAGGCAAGTCCTCCCTGATTTGTTTCTCCAGATCTCTTCAAGCAGGTGGCCAGCCCCACAGGCTTCTGTGACCAGCGCAGGCTGGGGCTCCTCCTGCACGACTCCATCCAGATCCCGCGGCAGCTGGGAGAGGTGGCCTCCTTCGGCGGCAGCAACATCGAGCCCAGCGTGCGCAGCTGCTTCCAGTTCGTAAGTGCTTCCCCGGCCGCCCACTCTTCCGACCCCCTCGGTGACCCCGGCTCCTGCTCGCTTGGTCCTGGCCGGGAGAGGTCTGCCGGGTTGGGATTTTTTATTAATCCGTTGATCACATTTCTTGGCAGAGTGCATCCTGGGAACTTCCACCCCCCCCCTCCCCTTAGTAACAGCTGTGGTGAGGAGAGGGGCAATGGGAACCATTAGGAGAGAAAGGAAAACAAAAGTGCACGGGGAGTTTTATTGCTGCAGGGCACTTCTGCGCATCGCATCCCACTGCAACGTGCAGCTTTTATCAGTAGGAGATAAAGAAACGACTATCAAAATAATATTGCCTAATGTGCGTGTTCACTTTTGTGAAAATTCAGAGATTAGAGTTAAATTCCTGGTGTGATCTCACTGACTGTGAAATCTAAAACCAGCTGAGCTGTGCTAACAGCCAGAAGTGCTTCAATCAATTCCACTGATGGAGGGTGTGATGGTAAGAATACCATAATTTGCTATGGGTTTTAATTGCAGCTGTACAAAATTGCCTGTGCATATCGTGGTAAAAATTTAGTAGTCATTGTCCGTATCTGCTTATGATATCGAGTAAAAGTGTTTTTTTCAATGGGCCCTGTGTTATGTAAGCATGAGACTCCAAATATCCTTTTTAAACAAGCCTGAGGAAAGTCATTTTGCCTTTGAGAACATTTGTAATGCTTCAGTCCAAACACCTCCTGGACCCGCATGTCCATGTAATATTCGGCGGCAAATGAGACATTTTTACTACTTTTCCCTTTGAATCAGACTTCAGTGATCTGCTTATGAAGATTGCTTCTGCTTCATATTGGTTCCATTAAAAAATTGGCATGAAGATGCAGTTTGACTTGACTTTTAAAGAGTTCTAGTTAAAGCTGTGCTCCAGTCCTCATTGCGCTCCCATTAACCTATTGTTTTAAGATTAAGGAGCCCTGGAAATATTCGGATGCCCACCCAACACTCTGGTCTAACTGATTTAGCCAAATGTTTAAACGTAGGTCGTTGCACTTCTGGGTGTATGTAACAAGATGTTTTTATATGCCCGTTTCCAGGCCAACAGACACACCAAAAACAGTTGTAAGTATAAAGAAAACACCAGTGCTCTTTATTTATGGTAAGGGAAATATCAACAGCCACCACAAACAAACACCAGAAAAAACCTAAGATCCACCCAAGCTACTGACTATGCTCCTTCATGATGTCCCTAATTGTTCTAGCTTGGTTCCAGTTTCACCCTGAGATGTCACAAAATGCTTCCAGGGCAACTAGGTCTCTCTCTGAGACTCTTCACAAAATGAGCACTTCCAGAATTCTCAAAACATCCAAAACATCCTTTCTCCCTTGGTTGATCACCTCTTTCTCCCTTTGGTAGGAGTGTACTGTAAAGGATCTGCCTAATACTTCCATGCAAGAGAGTGACTAATACAGAAAACCTTCTTCCTTCTTCCTGGTTTTTAACCTGTCACAAGACCAATTGTCTTCCGGCAACCAGTCAGGTGACTGAGAGCATCAGCTCATTCCCCCCTGAGGTTTCTGGGGAATGTAGTCCAGACAAGGGTGCACATGCAGGATGTACAAACCAGACTCGCAAATTAAAGAATCATCATACAGTAGGTTTTCAGTATGAAGCTTGACACATTGGGCGAATGACACCATTGCGGAGTTAGTATTGGGAATGACCTCCATGAGCAGTCGCACAGGGCGGGCGCACTGATCTAATCAGTGTCCGGATGGATACTGTAGCTAAACCTTTTTCTGCCAAGAGAAAAATCTGGCCACAGCAAGACCTCCGCATGGACTTGGAGAAAAACAGTTGGCTCAAAGGCAAGGACATTTGTCAATGTATTGGTGAGCAATAAGGTAGCTCTTGAAAGACGTTCTTGTATTGAAAGAAATTCCTCCCCATACCATCACATTTCCACGGTCAACTGATTGCATTGTTCCTGGGCTGAACTCCTGCTTCCCAAGATGTGGCTGTCTCCCAGACAGAGCTGGTTTTTGAGGACTGGCTGATTGTTGAAGCAAAACAGCTCATTCTCCAGTTATCTTCTCTCCCAGACAAGCTGCCCTCAATCAAGTCCATCTTCAGGGCTGAAGTGGGGCATGATTAGATAATCTGATATTCTTGTGTTCATTAAAAATGTCTTTTTTTAATGGTGATTTGTACAGATTCTTAGTTATTTCACACAGAGCACCTGCTATTTTTATGATATGAGTCTCGCATGATTTAGGCTCTGTATTTTGCTTTCAAAAGGGACTCCTTCTCAATTATCAAACTGCTCACTTTCTAAATACTGTGCTGCCAGTGAGACACACATTCCCCGTCATATCTGACCTGTTGCCTTTTCATTGTGCACCAGTAGTCGGTACAGTACAGGAGAAAGAATACAAAATTAAGTGTTTTATAGCATTTCATAGGCAGTGATTTGTTTGGTTGGTTCTGTAGGCTTGGTATTTCCCTCCTGGCATGTGGGTTAATTATGTACTAATTACTACAGGAGTGTCAAACATATGGCTCGCGGGCCAGATCTGGCCCTCCAGGCTCATTTGTTTAACCTGTGTGGCAGATGCAGTCAGAGCCTCGGCTGAGAATCCATTCACACCTTGTCTGGATGGGCACAGCTGACACACTGCAGACACCCTGAATGGGTCTCGCACACACAGCGCTCCCTGCGGTTCTCTGCCTCCGTCCAGTCTCAGTGTCCCTGCTTGATATTGTCACAGTTGTGATTTGATAGGGGTTGGGGATACACTGACTATGGGGGACCTGGCCAAACACTTCCTCTAAACGCCTCCTCCAAATTCTGGAGCAGCGTCAGTCACTGAATCATGACTTGGTGTCACTGAAACGGTGTCCAGTAGGTTTCTGAATAACACCATTATTCTGTTCTGCTGTTTGGTTTGTAGAGCAGCTAGCTGTTGCCAAAAGGTAGTAACAACAAGCTGAAGAATCTATTACTTTTACTGCCAATATGTGTTGACCATTTTTGGTGTTTATTTTATGTGACATGACCTCCCTTGAACCTTGCCTTTTGCCAATAATTTCCCACTTAAAAACACAAACACTCTGCTGCTTGCTGAGCATATTGTATTTCACCTATCATCACAGGCAGTGAGTGATAGTCCTGTCAGCCCCAGAGTTTACAGGTGCACTTCACTAATTGGCAGTGATGTCTTCGTAAACTGAGTGATTGGTGTATAGTTTGCTGTTCAGAAACTGTATCTAGTGTGAGATTCCTTAAAATAAAAATGAAATCCTTTTACTTTACCTGTAAATGGTTGACTCACTGCTGGGGTCTATAAAATCACCAGACCTTGCTCAGTAATGTACTGTACTGATGTTCAAGTACATTTCATGGCCATGCAAATATCTCCCAACTGCTGAACTTTTTCACGTTTTACAGCCAGGGAAAATGCTTTCCTTATCTTCGCTTTATTTTCTTTGCTTTTGTGACACCTGAAGAACTTGCAAAATGTTTTGCTGATGTGGTGTTAAAAATACAGAGGATGTTAAACGATAAAACCCAGTAAGTGAGATCTGGGAAGTGGCAATGAAGCAAAGTACCTTTGCTGTAGAGAACATGTCTTCATACAATGAAGACCCCATTGACTCTTTGTTGTAGTCTAGTTAATGTAGTGAAGAGTGGTGGTACAGTATATAGTTGCGCATTTATTTTTAGCAGTTGTTGAACAATATTCTTTTTTACAGATCAGATATACATAATGTACTATAATCAAAAATACACAGAATCTTAAGTAAATGTGGTTATTCATTTAAAAAAGAGTAATGAGGAGTAATTACTATATTAGCATCTAGTAAACTGCAAAGACTGCTAATTGCATTCCTAAAGCAGTCATATCGTTGTAAATGAAATGCTACAAATGCACCATATATCTAAATAATGCTATTTATGCAGATTGTGGTATTTCCATGATGGGTACAGCACAGTGAAACACATTGAAATCAAATCTGGCCTGTCACAGTAAAATGGGTCTGAAACCCCTGAATGATTAAATATAAAATCAGTAAACAAATTTTAAAAAAATCAAATAGGCTTCTGTACAAATTCTTTATTGATTATTCTTGTTTTTCATAGTCTTGAATCCCTCGGACTGCTCTAATTATCAAAGCTGCAGGCCTATCATGTGACCATACATTAAATTTAACAAAAATGCCAGGGCTAGATGTCTCTAGATCTCTAGATAATGTTGAGTGGAGACATAAGACTCAACTGTAATGGTTTTTTGTCCCCTCAAAACATATCCTGAAATGCCAACAGCATGGAAAATAATTTGTTTTCTGTAATGAGTTATTTAGATGGATGACAGTCATCTGCCTTCCATGGTGTGTGTGATTTATTCTCGTATAATCAGGACCACCATTGATTATACTGGAGTCAGCACTAGCTGTAATATCATTTTACAGTGCTGTAATAAGAGGAACTGCTGTCTTGAAATTTTGCAAGGAGGGACAGAGCTTTGTCTTCCCAATTGTCTTTTTGTTCAACATAATCTCGGTTTATGACTTATTAAGAGGTTATACAATAATTGGTAAAATGTTGGTTTACTCCCTGTGTCGGTTAATCTTTCGATTAATTTTGGTGCTCTTGTCTGTGAAAATGTAAAGTTGAATCGCAAGCAACAGTGTTTTTGCTGGATACATACTGTAGGGCATTGTATTCTACTTCGTCAAATATCAATACTCTTCTCGTCTTTGGTAGACTTCTACATTTACTGCATTTTTAGAGTACACTATTAAAAAATGTTTAAGCCTATCATAGATATCTTTTTTTCTGTCACAGAAAATTGAAATGGTCGACCTTACTGGGGGTAGTCTCAGGTGTATTTTCACTTGAAAAGTTTGCGGGAGCAGTGAGATCAGTCTGGGCCCAGCTCCATGTAGCTCTTGCACAATGCACTGTGAATGAGGGGTTGATTCGATCAGTTGGTGTCCTGCTGGGGTAAGACACTGCCAG